TAGTAATGAACAAATAAAAAGGAAATTAATAAAATTGTATTTACAGAAGCATTCAAAAGAATAAAATACCTAGAAATAAATTTAACCAAGAAAATCTTTCCCTTGTATACTGGTTAAATTTATAGTTCTGTACCATACATTTAGATTTGTATAATAAAAACTGCAAAACTTAGCTGAAAGAAATTAAAGACTTAAATAAATGGGAAGACATCCCATGTTCATGGATTAGAAGATTTAATATTGTTAAGATGGCGGTATAGCAATCTACAGATCCAAAATCCCTGTTAAAATTCCGGTAGCCTTTTTTGTAAAAACGGAAAAGCTGATCCTCAAATTCATATGGCACTAGCATGCGCCCCAAATAGCCAAAATAATATTGAAAAGGAAAATCAAAGTTGGAAGGCTCACACTTATTAATTTCAAAACTTACTACAAAACTACATAATTAAAACAGTGGAGTACCAGCATAAGGATAGACGTATAGACCATTGAAACAGAATTGAGAGTTCAGAAATAAACCCAAGTATCTGTGGCCAATTTATTTTCAACAAGGGAGCCAAGACTTTCAACAAGAGAAAACAGTCTCTTCAACAAATGTTGCTTTGATAACTGGATACAAAAGAATGAAGTTGCAATGCTACAACATGGATAAACTTTGAAAACATTATGCTATGTGAAAGAAACCCAACACAAAGACCACATAATTTATAATTTCATTTGTAAGAAATATGCAGAATAGGCAGATCCATAGGGTCAGAAAGCAGAGTGGTAGTAGTTGGGCCTGAGGGGAAGGAGGATTGAGGATTCATGTGCGGTTTCTTTTGGAGGTGATAAAAATGCTCTAAAATTAGATAGTGATAAAAGTTGCACAACTCTGAATATATTAATACTAAGATGTACTGAATTGTGTCCTTAAAGATGAAGTTTGTTGAATGTGAATTGTATCTCAAAACTTATTTTTAAAAATGGGAAAGGCACAAGGGTATGAGCTGGTGGGGGGAGGATGGCTGTTTTAGAATATTCCCTTGCTCAACCCTGTAATTAATACATGTTTTTTTCCTAGGAACCCATCTTACTGTGATCCAGAGGTTCAGTATAGACTATTTGTTAATAAATGGTGATGCATTTAATGGTTCCTTGTTACTAATGTACCCAAATAACCTCCCACAAGAGTCAGCAGTTCCTATTACAACTTATCTTTTATACAACTTTATCTTTTATGCAAATAAAACTTATTTGTCTAAAATATTTGGTATAGGGTCATAGGAAATCTTGTAATTTAGATCCCCTTGGGCTACTGAAGATTTTTTTTTCCTATCATTTTCTTTTTTACACTGATGAAAAGATACTAGGTTCTTCTGAAGTCAGAGTTCATAAATGTCCATTCCTTTGTGATCATGTGGACTTTTAAATTAATAAATCTTATATCAAAGGTCAGGGGAATAAATGGTTAATAGGTCCTCCCAGCTTAAATTCAGTCTTAAATTATTTCCCTATGGAGCTTTCACTTAAACCTCTTCCCAAAGGTACCACTGTTCTGATACCATATTGAAGTCTAGCGCTTATTTGACTTTTATATTTTTCACATTTTGAAATGAATATCTTTTCTTATGCTAGAATACATAAAGAATACTATCAGTAATTTTTTTCTATCACCAAACAGTGATTTTTAAAAATTAGATTTAAGAACAGGTAATATGTCTTTCTACTAACTCTGAAATATAAGGTGTACATTTTCGTACAGAATTATAGTTACAAGATTGGACAGATTTGTGTGACGTCATGTAGGTTTGGAGAATTACACTCAGGCAGCAGGGCATCTACTGCCCACCTGACAGTTTTAGTCACTGATGAGATTATGTCCTAGATAGATCCGTTGTCTCTGGAGCCGAGGCCCATTAGCTCCACAGTGGTATAGACCCACTAGTTAATATCCATAGGCACTTGCGGAGTGAATAATCGTGGGCTGGGATCTGCCATTTATTGAAAACTGTATTCTATGACCTGTGTTAGGTGCTTCCTAATAAGTGGCAAAAATGACTTAGAATCTATGATTCCAAAAATTTTGTTCTCTTCCTTGGATTCCTCTTAGAGGCATCTGGGGCTTAGGGTCTCCCAGTCTTCCATTAAAT